CTACAGAAGAGCAGCCTTATTTTAAACCAGGTGAAAAACTCCACAGTTTAAAATGGAAAAACATAATGGAGCCCTGAGGAGAAGGACTTGGAGGTTGTTTGACTTGGGAGTGTGCACTTGCAGCCCAGAAAGCCAACCATGTCCTGGGCTGCATCATCAGCTGAGAACTGGGCTTTGTCAGCCTGAAAAAGAGAGAGCTCTGTGGAAACCTTAGAGCAGCTTCCAGTGCCTAAAGGGGCCAACAAGAAAGCTGGAAACGGGCTTTTGACCAGGGCCTGTAGGACAGGACAATGGGGAATGGCTTTAAACTGACAGAGGGGAGATTTAGATGAGATCTTAGGAAGAAGTTCTTCCCTGTGAGGGTCGTGAGCCCCTGGCATGGGTTGCCAAGAGAAGCTGTGGCTGCCCCATCCCTGGCAGTGTTCAAGGCCAGGTTGGACGAGGCTTGGAGCAACCTGGTCTAGTGAAAGTTGTTCGTGCCTGTGGCAAGGGGTTGAAACTGGATGAGCTTTAAAGTTACTTCCAACCCAAACCATTCGATGGTTAAATAAGTGCAGACGTGGATTATGCTTTCTTGTTGACACAAAGCAAGGCTACTAGTCATAGATTTATAGTCATAGATTCACAGCAACTCCTAATTTAAACGTTCCAGTTTTAAACCACTTCCCACTAAATCACAGACTGTGAGGATCCTGTCCTCCCAAGCAGGAGATCTGCCAAGAGCCTGTCCAAGGGAGCAGTTGGAAACCATGGTTATAAATGCAACACATGGATCTCTTCCTCATTTCTTAAAAACAGTTCAGGGGAATGCACATGGAGCTTTACCACTACTGAAAATTCAATACACTGTTACAAAATTAGATACCTCAATGTGATCTCAGGAAGAGTAAACACTTCTCACAAAAACCTGATGCTGAAAGAAGCTGTCCAGCAGGACATTGCCCGGCAGTTTCCCGGTTGTATTACTCACCATATCTGTAGCTTGATCTTCTTTCCTTGTAATTCAACAGTTTTAATCTTGAAGTCTATCCCTGAAATAAACAAACATATAAATAATTAGTGTTTATTTACAAAAAAAGAGCAATTCCACATCAACTTAGAATTGCTGCAGTTTTTTATTTCTCTTTCTGAATTGTCAAGTAAACCAAGGACACCCCAGTAAGCAGAATGCAGGAGTAACCAGGGCCTTAAAGGGTCTACATCGGTCAACGGATACCCTCAGGTAACACTGGTAAGATGATCTGGCTTGTAAAACCTTTTAAAGTTTCCTCCTGGTTTTTGTAATTTTTCTGGACAAGTTCCAAAAAGAGATTTGGGAGTTCAGGTGTAAATTTAAACATCCTAAACAAAACATCATGCTTTCTTCTTTAAAAAAAAACTATTCTTTTCCCTAAAATGATTAAACCACAATATTTTGCATATGCTGAAAAATGCTGTGAAATATCATGGTGAATTTTTATTTATTTTTTTACTCTTTAGACCTTGTGATACCACCATTTTAGAAACCTCTCAAACAAAACCCACCTCTTTTCCCCACAATTCTCCTTTCCATTAAACCCATTCAAGCAACTATCTCCAAGAATAACATTAACCACAGAAATCCTAATGCTTGCTGCCTAACTCAAAGCAGTTGGTGCGAGAGCCTATACCAACACATGTGCAAGATTCCAGTCTACCAAAACCAGTCATCTTGCTTTTTACACCACGGAAACAATCAGCAGAAGCCTTAAACTGTCTCTTTAGCTCAACACAAGTCTATGGTTTATGCACCTCAAGCTTCAGTAATGCAAATAGAAGGGTTTAAGCAACACGAAGCTTTCAACCAGTAACAAAAGGTGAGTTATCAGCACAAGTGTCCTCATCAAGGTCCATCCCAGCTCCAACACGGTACAAGCCATGTCAGGCCTCAACAGAAGTGCAGAACCAAGACTCCCGGAACTCAGAATAAGCAAAGACCATCTTGACAGAGGAAGAGTAAGGTTTTTACTTTTAATACTAACTAATACAAAGTAATTCATGTGTTCATTTGTGGCAAAGCTGAAGTGGAATCACAGGGAAGTTAGATAATGATGGGATTTGCAAAGACTGACTAGGTGACGGAAAGCAGTCCTGAGAAGACTTAGGGAAGAAACAACTATCAAAATGAAGACAGATTATGAGCCAAGATCGGTACTGAAACCAGTATTTAATATTTTCATTATTAACCCTAGTGTAATCAATTGTCCTAGTTGAAGTCTACTGCTTATACAAGCGAGAGGCTCTGTACAAAGGATGATTAAAACAAGAAACAGATAATCTCGAAGAAAGAATAAAAACAAGGGATGTCAGCAGTACAAAATGCAGCACTACCTGCCTGCTACCTAAGAATTTCTTCTGTGAACCAGCAGCTGTCTTCAGATGACAAGGAAGACAGACCGAAGGCTAAGACTTTCGGGGAGCAACCATGATCCGATGGAAAGACAACCCTACGATAAGCAAATCATGCAGACACCTTGTGAGACATTTCCATCCAAGTGAGGGAAATACTAATGCCATTGTGCAAGACCTTGGTGAAACCTCATCTGTGCAATGTGTACAAACTGGTCACTCTTCACCAGAAGAGGTGGGCTTGGAGGTAGATGTCACACAAGATGAGCCAGGATGAGGACGTCTACCAACTGCTCCTTCCCAGCAGAGGAAACTTGAGACTCACGTCTTGTTTCAACCTTCTCTTCCCCAAACTGCCTATGAGAATTACTACCACAGAGTACAGAGGAGCAGTAGCACCGCAAGCCACCATCTCGAAGTGCTCAGACAATAATTAGATGCCAGAGTTCTGACTTCCAACTCCAATCAGAGAAACACCACTGATAATTTCTCATGTTTTCCAAAAATCTGTTTATATTTAGACATTCTAAAAGGCAGCAGCTGTAATCACAAACTTCCCTCCTAAATCTACAAGGTCATTTTATACCGAGCCAGATTAAAAAGAATTTATGAAACACACTATTATGTAAGAAGCCTGCATAGGAAGTCTGCTTTAAACTCCTTTTAGCTCAATATACTGCACACAGTACTTCATTTTAACGTTGAAATGTTAAATTACTAAAATCTCTTCACGTAAAATCAGGACACCAGAGCCTCTCTGGGAAAGGCTATGCAATTTTAGAGGAGAAATCCCTTCCCCACAGGCCTGTGCCATGCAGGGGCAGGAAGCAGGACAGCACTTGCTAGATGGACATATACTGCACATGGGGCCAGAAAGGAAAACTAAAACCAAATGCAGCTCCTCAGAGAGCCCCTAAGTTTACCAAATGCTTCATAAACATGAACTGGAGTGTAAAGGTGCAAAATCAAAAGGAGGTGATCACCAGCAGCATGACCATCAGGTTGAGGGAGGTGATTCTCCCCCTCCCCTCTTATGAGGCCCCCCCCTGCTCAGGAGCCCAACATAAGAAGGATGCGGAGCTGCTGGAGCAAGTCCAGAGGAGGCCACAAAGATGCTCTGAGGGCTGGAGCACCTCTGCTATGGAGACAGGCTGAGAGAGTTGGGCTTATTCAGCCTGGAGAAGAGAAGGCTCCAGGGACAACTTAAAGCTGCTTTTGGAGCCTGAAGGGGCCAACCAGAAAGCTGGAGAGGGGCTTTTGACAAGGGCCTGTAGCGACAGGACAAGGAGGAATGGCTTTAACTTGGCAGAGGGGAGATTTAGGTTAGAGTTGAGGAAGAAGTTCTTCCCTGTGAGGGTCAAGCACAGGGTGCCCAGAGAAGCTGTGGCTGCCCCATCCCTGGCAGTGTTCAAGGCCAGGTTGGATGGGGCTTGGAGCAATGTGGTCTAGTGGAAGGTGTCCCTTCCTGTGGCAAGGGGGTTGGAACCGGATGAACTTTATGGTCCCTTCCAACACAAACCATTCTGTGATTCTATGAAAATTCTGCAATTCTAAGGACTTAAAATATCACAGTGACCCAAGGCTGAGGAAGTCCACCAATTCTAGGATGTCAGCTTGGGAGCTTCAGACCTCCAGTTCTGGTCAGTGCTCCATTGTTTTTCCAGCTAGCCAAGCAGTACTTCATCACTCAAATTTATCAATCAATACAGCAAGCATCATATATATGGTTTGAAAAACAAACCCATTGAATGATTAATAGCCAACACACGAAACTGTCCAAAATCCACCCAACTACCCTACATTTTGTAGCATTTAACCAAACTGTTTCCTACTATGTAGTGCTCCACAGCAACACTATCAAACAAATGAACACAGCAGTTGACAAAAGATTGTATTTTATACAGCAACACATACTTTAAGGTTCTGCCCAGATAAAGCAGGATGTTTGACAACCACTTTTTATGTGTTAAGATAAAGTAAGCTATTAACCAGCCAAGGAAATTAACTCTTCTCTGCACTGAGAGGGATTTAGCTAACTCTAGTGTTTGGGGATAAAATAAATCTCTAATCCCATGTTATGCTCAGCTTCCATTCCAACATAATACTAGTTCAGCCTTCGTAACAGAAATACTGTTATAAATAGCAATGACTATTTGCCTCCAAATACTTCCAAAGCAGTTCTAACAGACTGAAAAAATGAGACCTCTGTACCTCTCTAATTCCCGTTTGGTTCTAGATCTCTCCAAGGAAGTCCCAAAGGCTCCAGAGAGAACAGGTTACAGATACAGGTAGTTTCCAGTAACATTAAGTTCAGGAAAGGTTTTAAGAGGGTAATGGATATAAAAATTGAATGGCATGTAGAGCGGACATAGTACTGTCAAAGGAGGATAATGACACAACTAATGAATTAGAGATGAACATGAAATTGCTCCCTCATTAAGTGTTGATAAGATATTCATCAACTTGAACAGGGCAAACTGGAATGCACTGAAAAACCTGGGAGCATACCAGCAGCCCTTTCAACACTTATTTAATCCACACATTCAAACAAAAAGTTTTAAGTGTTTGTTACCCACAGTTTAAAAATGAAGTCTCCTTACAGGCAGATGATCCCAGGTTTCTGCCTCAATTCTGGCTTTCCTTCAAATTTCAAGTTCTACCAGTTGCTTACAGCAACATACAGGCCCAGGTCTGTCCAAACGCTGAACTCATGCCTTTAAAAACAGTTAGAACCTATTTGTGGATTCTTTAGGTTACTGGTCTTTGAGTATCAAGGCTTTAGGAGCACCACTGGTTGATCTCATGGTGTGTGCAAACAAGATCAGCCCTTACATGAATACTGAAAGTCACTTCTGCCTAGTGACTGTGAAAACGCAAACCAAGAGGAGCTTCAGGAGCTGGAAGGTTAGACTTGCACATGAGGCCACTGGAATCAAGCTCTTCCATCCTTCCATCCATCAGCAGAAGCTATTGTTGGAGACTCCCAACAAAGCATTCCAGTTTTGTTTGTGTAGGTTTAAACATCTGAATGCCTTGGTGAATACAAACCTATTTGCTCAATGGTTTTGTGTTTCCATCACTCTCAAATGAAAGACATTAATGAAGACCCAGGACTTGCGTCAGCAGAACAGTGTGTTTTAAATCCATAATTGCTGCATCCAAACAGTTACAGATCACTTTACACCTTCCCAAACCACTGCCAATGTTTTGTAAAGACCCCTCTGCCATTGGTAAATCACAAACCAATGATTCTTGAAAAGGGAAAGACAGAATGCCACTCATAAAAAAGGAAGAAAGAAAAAGTTATTTTCCAGTCCACTGCAGAGCTACAAATGATGAGCTGGCCCTTTTCAGACAGCACAAATTTTGTTTGCATTCTTTCCAAACAAAGACACCATTCAGCTTGGTGAGGGCACTGAGCGGGAGGAAGCGGAATGTAGGGCAAGAGAGGGGCAATGCTGCGGCGATGGGAGCCCGACAGCCAACCTGCACATCGAGTTGCCACCAAATGAAGACCATAAGCAGCATGTAAATAAGTTCATTTTGTATTTCACTGGCTTTGCAACTCTACTTCAACTTAGGAAAGAAAAGCAAACATGCACAAATTCACTCAAGTCTCATGCCTGCAAGTTGACAGAGGGTGGATTTAGATGAGATACTAGGAAGTT